CCCGCCCCTTTTCAGACATATAGGCCTTATGTAGCCCCGCCCCGCCCCTTTTCAGACATATAGGCCTTATGTAGCCCCGCCCCTTTTCAGACATATAGGCCTGATGTAGCCCAGCCCCTTTTCAGGCATAGAGGCCTTATGTAGCCCCGCCCCTTTACAGACATATAGGCCTTATGTAGCTCCGCCCCTTTTCAGACATATAGGCCTTATGTAGCCCAGCCCCTTTACAGACATATATGCCTTGTGTAGCCCCGCCCCTTTTCAGACATATAGGCATTGTGTAGCCCCGCCCCTTTTCAGACACATAGGCCTTATGTAGCCCCGCCCCGCCCCTTTTCAGACATATAGGCCTTATGTAGCCCCGCCCCTTTTCAGACATATAGGCCTTGTGTAGCCCCGCCCCTTTTCAGACATATATGCCTTGTGTAGCCCCGCCCCTTTTCAGACATATAGGCCTTATGTAGCCCCGCCCCGCCCCTTTTCAGACATATAGGCCTTATGTAGCCCCGCCCCTTTTCAGACATATAGGCCTGATGTAGCCCAGCCCCTTTTCAGGCATAGAGGCCTTATGTAGCCCCGCCCCTTTACAGACATATAGGCCTTGTGTAGCCCCGCCCCTTTTCAGACATATAGGCATTGTATAGCCCCGCCCCTTTTCAGAGACATAGGCCTTATGTAGCCCCACCTCTTTTCAGACATATATGCCTTGTGTAGCCCCGCCCCTTTTCAGACATATAGGCCTTATGTAGCCCCACCCCTTTTCAGACATATATGCCTTGTGTAGCCCCGCCCCTTTTCAGGCATATAGGCCTTATGTAGCCCCGCCCCTTTTCAGACATATAGGCCTTATGTAGCCCCGCCCCTTTTCAGACATATAGGCCTTATGTAGCTCCGCCCCTTTTCAGACATATAGGGCTTATGTAGCCCCGCCCCTTTTCAGACATATATGCCTTGTGTAGCCCCGCCCCTTTTCAGGCATATAGGCCTTATGTAGCCCCGCCCCTTTTCAGACATATAGGCCTTATGTAGCCCCGCCCCTTTTCAGACATATATGCCTTGTGTAGCCCCGCCCCTTTTCAGACATATAGGCCTTATGTAGCCCCACCCCTTTTCAGACATATATGCCTTGTGTAGCCCCGCCCCTTTTCAGGCATATAGGCCTTATGTAGCCCCGCCCCTTTTCAGACATATAGGCCTTATGTAGCCCCGCCCCTTTTCAGACATATAGGCCTTATGTAGCTCCGCCCCTTTTCAGACATATAGGCCTTATGTAGCCCCGCCCCTTTTCAGACATATAGGCCTTATGAAGCTCCGCCCCTTTTCAGACATATAGGGCTTATGTAGCCCCGCCCCCTTTCAGCGCTACACTCGTTGTCTTTGGTCTGTATTTTCACAGCGATCTTGCGTATTTATGGATGAACGGCTTGTTTTAAAATCTTCCCGGTCGACTGACATTTGTTAAGACATCTGCGTTAAACATTACAATCCTCATGATGACTTTCGTTAACACTACAATAAGTAAATCCACTTCGCCAGGTAATTACTCCTGGACAGCGATGCCATAGAGATATACAGAGCGACCGCAATATTCTGAAGATGCGGCGCTTGTTTCTCTAAGGTCTATTATTGTGAAAATGAACGATAACAAAGAATCATGTTTTTGTCCAAATTAAAATGGGAAAAAATTATGTTCTTCCTTAGTATTGTTGTCTTGTATCTGACAATGGAGTCAGAAAAATTATCTTGTTATTACTTTGAATTAAGATTATTTTTATGACTCTGTTGGCAGATATTTGTTCTTGTTTTAAACACAAACTCACTTCATTTTGATGAAAAAAAAATTCAGTACACAACTCTTAATATCTTCAGTCACTGTTCTTCTCCAGTAAATGTGTCTTGATTTAAGAATGCTTAGATAATAGTGCTGGGAAACGAGACAGAAACACTGAGGAAGAACAGCATTATAGCAGTGTACATGTTTTTAAAAGCCGTCTGTAGGAGTAGAGTATTCACACAATACATATATGCAACAAAAAAACGAAATAATTTGCAATAATGAAGTAGTTATGGTATTTTTCATGGTATTATTGCATGTTCAGTATCGCAATACATCGTACGGTATATCAGCATATTCTTTCCATCAAAGCTCATAGAGTCAAACAGAAAAAGCCAAAGCGCATGCAGTTCTTCTTCATCCTCAGATCTGATTATCTCACATCAGAAGTGGAAATAAAACGCAGTATTAGTGTGTGTTCGTCACTTCAGAAGGCAGACGCATGTTTCATCATGCTAATGTTTCACAAGCTTCACTCAAGCTGGTGTCTCTCGCATACGCAAATCTGCTGTGTGTGTGTGTGTGTGTGTGTGTGTGTGTGTGTGTGTGTGTGTGTTCTGCGGCGAGGACAGAATCAGTATTCGGGAAGCGGCTGGAGGGAACATCTGCACTGAGAGAAACACTGAATGCACAACATCAGGAGCTTCCGCACCGGAGGAACCTGTTCATCGTTCTACCATAGAAGTAAAAACTACCCAAACACTGGGTTGTTACGTCTGACCCAGGAGCTGGGTAACACAAAAACTACCCAAACATTAGGGGCTTTCGCACCGGAGGAACCTGTTCATCGTTCTACCATAGAAGTAAAAACTACCCAAACACTGGGTTGTTACGTCTGACCCAGGAGCTGGGTAACACAAAAACTACCCAAACATTAGGGGCTTTCGCACCGGAGGAACCTGTTCATCGTTCTACCATAGAAGTAAAAACTACCCAAACACTGGGTTGTTACGTCTGACCCAGGAGCTGGGTAACACAAAAACTACCCAAACATTAGGGGCTTTCGCACCGGAGGAACCTGTTCATCGTTCTACCATAGAAGTAAAAACTACCCAAACACTGGGTTGTTACGTCTGACCCAGGAGCTGGGTAACACAAAAACTACCCAAACATTAGGGGCTTTCGCACCGGAGGAACCTGTTCATCGTTCTACCATAGAAGTAAAAACTACCCAAACACTGGGTTGTTACGTCTGACCCAGGAGCTGGGTAACACAAAAACTACCCAAACATTAGGGGCTTTCGCACCGGAGGAACCTGTTCATCGTTCTACCATAGAAGTGAAAACTACCCAAACACTGGGTGGTTACGTCTGACCCAGGAGCTGGGTAACACAAAAACTACCCAAACATTAGGGGCTTTCGCACCGGAGGAACCTGTTCATCGTTCTACCATAGAAGTAAAAACTACCCAAACACTGGGTTGTTACGTCTGACCCAGGAGCTGGGTAACACAAAAACTACCCAAACATTAGGGGCTTTCGCACCGGAGGAACCTGTTCATCGTTCTACCATAGAAGTAAAAACTACCCAAACACTGGGTTGTTACGTCTGACCCAGGAGCTGGGTAACACAAAAACTACCCAAACATTAGGGGCTTTCGCACCGGAGGAACCTGTTCATCGTTCTACCATAGAAGTAAAAACTACCCAAACACTGGGTTGTTACGTCTGACCCAGGAGCTGGGTAACACAAAAACTACCCAAACATTAGGGGCTTTCGCACCGGAGGAACCTGTTCATCGTTCTACCATAGAAGTAAAAACTACCCAAACACTGGGTTGTTACGTCTGACCCAGGAGCTGGGTAACACAAAAACTACCCAAACATTAGGGGCTTTCGCACCGGAGGAACCTGTTCATCGTTCTACCATAGAAGTAAAAACTACCCAAACACTGGGTTGTTACGTCTGACCCAGGAGCTGGGTAACACAAAAACTACCCAAACATTAGGGGCTTTCGCACCGGAGGAACCTGTTCATCGTTCTACCATAGAAGTAAAAACTACCCAAACACTGGGTTGTTACGTCTGACCCAGGAGCTGGGTAACACAAAAACTACCCAAACATTAGGGGCTTTCGCACCGGAGGAACCTGTTCATCGTTCTACCATAGAAGTAAAAACTACCCAAACACTGGGTTGTTACGTCTGACCCAGGAGCTGGGTAACACAAAAACTACCCAAACATTAGGGGCTTTCGCACCGGAGGAACCTGTTCATCGTTCTACCATAGAAGTAAAAACTACCCAAACACTGGGTTGTTACGTCTGACCCAGGAGCTGGGTAACACAAAAACTACCCAAACATTAGGGGCTTTCGCACCGGAGGAACCTGTTCATCGTTCTACCATAGAAGTAAAAACTACCCAAACACTGGGTTGTTACGTCTGACCCAGGAGCTGGGTAACACAAAAACTACCCAAACATTAGGGGCTTTCGCACCGGAGGAACCTGTTCATCGTTCCTAGAACCAGTGTTGGGGAAAGTTACTTTGAATAGTGATGCATTACAATATTGCGTTACTTTTTTAGAAAACTAATGCGTTATGTTACTTTTGCGTTACTTTTTTTTCACCTGAGCTGGGATTGTTTTTTTTTTAAACAAAAAAAGATATATTGTTGGGCAAATGTAAAGACCCTTTCACACCAACAGTGAAATAATAATCCTCAGGCGGAAGGAAAAGCAGATTCTGTTCTGGATAACTCAATAGTAAGATGCAGGAGAATAAGTTTAACACTTACTGTACCAATAAAAACAAAAAAATCTATAGCCATTTTTGCTAAATGTTTAACTGAGTCATCGAAGGCCAGAAGCAAGTGCACTGGTCAATAAAGTGAGATTAAATGCACACACTGACATGAGGACAGGAGAGCTGGAACACAGTGACTAGCCTGACTTTAGGGGTCAGGAGGTAAAAGTCCTGCCATATGTTTATTCCACATGAACTCAGTCGGCTGATTCACTCATTAGCTCTCCTGGATGAAAAACTGCTAATTAGCAAATCATGTGATTGGAACAAAATACTGAGGAGGACTTTTACTTTCTGGACTTTACACCTCTGCTTATTTGAGAAAGTAATGCGTGACTTTACTAGTTACTTGAAAAGGTAATCTGATTACGTAACTCAAGTTACTTGTGACGAGCTTCCCGGAGCTCAGCCGTGATACTCACTTGCTGTAGCAGTCTCGGGCCTCTCTAGCGGACGCCATCTCCCAGCCATTGGGCCCCTGAGGCCCCTGAGCGGCCCAGCTGCCGGGGCCCGACGCACAGCTCGAGGCTTTGGTCCTGGGGCTGCAAACACAAGAGGAGCGGTCAGAGATGGGTCAGGGTCGAGGGTCACGGGTCAGTCAGAGATGGGTCAGGGTCACGGGTCACGGGTCAGTCAGAGACGGGTCAGGGTCACGGGTCACGGGTCAGTCAGAGACGGGTCAGTCCAGCGCACCTTTACGGCAAATCATTTCTGTTTAAGCATATCAGATCTTTTTAAAGCAGCATCGCAGAAATGAGTGTGAAAATAACAGTCAAATGTTGAAAAGTTCAATTACGAAGCTACTTCTGTAGAGCTGCTTTTACACCTGCAAGTGAAGTGGTTTCATAATTGACACTGTTATTGAACTGAACTGATTCAAGATCGAACTGAATCAATACTGGAATTAACTGAATCAACACTGAACTGAACTGAATCAACACTGAAGTGAATCAACACTGAACTGAATCAACACTGAATCAACACTGAACTGAATCAACACTGAACTGAATCAACACTGAACTGAATCAACACTGAACTGAACTGAATCAACACTGAACTGAACTGAATCAACACTGAACTGAACTGAATCAACACTGAACTGAATCAACTCTGAACTGAACTGAATCAACACTGAACTGAACTGAATCAACACTGAACTGAATCAACACTGAACTGAATCAACACTGAACTGAACTGAATCAACACTGAACTGAATCAACACTGAACTGAACTGAATCAACACTGAACTGAACTGAATCAACACTGAACTGAATCAACACTGAACTGAACTGAATCAACACTGAACTGAACTGAATCAACACTGAACTGAACTGAATCAAGAATGAACTAAATTGAGCTGATTAATGACACCGTCGTCTAAGAGCTGATTTACAGTTGAAAATGTTTATTCAATTTAATTCAGTAATATCAATGTTGCAAAGTTCATCAATTTAATTCAAGATTCAATTCAACTCAATTCAGCTTAATGTTTGAGAATGGCATTTTTCACATTTGTAACTACAGTCTGCAACTTCACATTCAGAACACACGTGTGTGTCTATCGTCTGCGACTGCAAATCTCAACATTCAACTTTTTATTTCACAGGTTTTCACGTCGGAGCTGTGAGTGTACATTCTAGCGTACAAGTACACATATTTATTGTACAAGTTCTCAAATTCACAGCTACATGCTCTCGAGTTTTGCTACTCTTTTACCTTCATATACTTCTATTATTGCTGAATATGAGATTGTGAACATATAACAGCACGTGTGTGGAGATATGAGCCGCTACAGTGGGAGGATCTTCTCCTCGCTGAAGCTGTGACCGATAACAGCCTGGACTTCACTTGTGCCAGTGATTTAATTATATTTATTATGTAATGCAATCATGCAAGCCTGAAGAGTGCCATGCTCCAGTCGTGTCTCTAAACGCCGTGAAATCTTCCTTAAGCCGAACATTCCCTGGAAAGCCTGAGATCCAGCGGCCGTTTGATCAGAGTCGTGTTTGTGCACCAGATTACTGGATGTGTGTGTGACTCACTGTATTATTGTGAAGCTCCAGGGCTTCATTTACAATAAAAGTGCAGCACAAATATAGTTACAGAATCCGAACACCCACCTAAACCCAGCTGGAGAAACAGAGACGCAGCGAAGCACAGCATCCTCAGAATAAAAGCGCCATGTTTTAAGCCTTTAAAATGTGATAAGTTCCGAATAGGGCTGGAAGTATATTAAATATTCACATAAATACACACACACACACACACACACACTAACCCGACCCTAAACCTACCCATCACACACACACACACACAAACACACACTAACCCGACCCTAAACCTACCCATCACACACACACACACACACACACAAACACACACTAACCCGACCCTAAACCTACCCATCACACACACACACACACACACACACACACACACACACACACACACACACACAGACACTCACACGAAAAAAAAAAAAAAAGGAAGAAGCCAAAACCTACTTTTTAAGAATCGATTGTATATAATGATATCAGTCAAACCCAGCAGACAGGAATATGATCTCACACGAGCTTCAGTCTGTCAGAGTAACTGAGTTACAGGAATAACCGTAGCGTTGTTCGTCCGGATGCAGAGCAGAGAGAGCTCAGGAGACGAAGCTCCTCACCGGTGAAGCTCTACTGACTCCTGACACGCTGCTCAGCACTCATTATCTACACACACTTCCTGTCAGGAGGCACTGCGTGTGTGTGTGTGTGTGTGTGTGTGTGTGTGTGTGTGTGTGTGTGTGTGTGTGTGTGTGTGTGTGTGTGTGTGTGTGTGTGTGTGAGTGTGTGTGTGTGTGTGTGTGTGTGTGTGTGTGTGTGTGTGTGTGTGTGTGAGTTTGTGTGTGTGTGTGTGTGTGTGTGTATATTAGGTATGCAAGAACGCACTGAAAACTGGCAAACTGATCCATAATAAATTAACATTCAACCTAATGTTTCCTCAGTCTAGTCACACACACACACACACACACACACACACACACACACACACACACACACACACACACAAACACACACACACACACACTCACACACACACTCACACTCACACTTTCTATGTGAATATACAGTAAAGTGTAATTTATTCCTGTGATCAAAGCTGAATTTTCAGCATCATTACTCCAGTCTTCAGTGTCACATGATCCTTCAGAAATCACTCTAATATGAGGATCTGATGCTCAAGACACATTTATGATTATTATCAGTGTTGAAAACAGCTCATATTTCTGTGGAAACCGTCATACATTTAATTTTTCAGGATTCTTTGATGAACAGAAAGTTCAAAAGAACAGCATTTATTTGAAATAGAATCTTTTGTAACATTATTAAATGTCTTTACTGTCACTTTTGATCAAGTTAATGCGTCCTTGATGAATGATAGTATTAATTTCTTTTAAAAATAAACCCGCTGACCATATTGTACAGCTTATTGTCATCTTATTCAGAGATCTTCATTTTAAGACACTGTCAACATCTCGCTTATATAAAGCCTTTCTCTGAAAGCAAAGTCATTCAGCAACAAAAATGCAGAGGCAGCAGAATATGGAATGGATTTAAACATAGTAAAATGTTTTGGAGCTGAAAGCCAATTAAGCCAAAAACAATATACAACTATAACGAGATAAAACGAACTAAATGAGTGTGAAAGTGTTGGGTTTACATCAGATGAAGAACACCGGCTGGTCCTGGGAGCCCGTCTTCAGGAACATTCAAATAATTCCACGGTGACTTTATTCTCATGATAATTACACACATTTCTCACCAATTATCAACACAACCCTGGTGTGAGGAGGGGCCCGCTCCTCTACTAAGACTTCAGAAGACTTCATGCACAGGTCGGTTTGTTGTACAGGTGAGGTGGCATTACCTGCTCTGGCTTTCAAGCCTGACGCACCTCCTCCGGTGCCAATTGGGACAGCTGCAGGGTCATCAGCTGGACACCGCCGTTCATAGATGTTTCGCCCCCACGACCAGTACATCTCCAGGCGGGGGGGCCGGTGGCATGCTGGGGACGTCTCCCCGCCACCCCCTGCAGCTGTCATTACTGGGGTGATGATCCCCACCCCATCTCTTTCCTCCTCAACCAAAGCCAGTAGCTCCCTTTCTCCGCTTCCTCTCCCAGCACCCCCGTTGCTTTCCTCAGCCTTGAGCCTGTTACGCCCACTCCATGTAGCAGCTGGACTGCTGCTTTGCCCACAAAGCCTCGACAGCCGATCTCCACCGGGTGTACAGTTGCTTTCCAGCCAGCATCTTTGCACTCCGCTGCTAACTCGGCGTACTTCTGATGCTTCCTTTCGTGGGCTGCTGCCATATTCTCCTCCCAGGGGATGGTTAGCTCAATGAGGAGGGCTCGCTTCGCCACTGTTGACCACATGACTATGTCTGGTCGGAGAGTGGTAGTCATGATCTCTCTTGGAAAGACCAACTGTTTCCTAAGGTCTGCCAGCATCTGCCACTCTTTACCAGGTGCGAGCATGCTGATCTTCTTCTGGGCAGGCAATTGGTGTATACTGCCAGGCTTTACAAATCCTGTCAGGGCATGCTCTTCTGTTGCCGGTAACTGGTTTGCTGCAACCCTACCACCCTCCAGAATCTCGGCCAGTTTCGTCAGGATTGCATCATGGCGCCACCTGAAGCGTCCCTGGGTCAGTGCCACTCTGCATCCCGACAAAGTGTGTCGGAGACTTGCCTTGGCGCTCCCACACAGATGACAGCCCACTTCATCACCATACCACAGTGTGAGGTTCCTGGGGCATGGAAGGGTGTCGTAGGTCGCCCTTAACAGGAAGCTGAGCCTGGATTGAGGTGTCCTCCAGATATCCGCCCAGGTAATACGCCTGTTGATGGTAGCATCCCATCTCGTCCAGGCTTCTTGTGTGCCCTGGGATATTGCCTTCAGATGGAAGCGCTCCTTCTCCAGTCTGGTGATTTCGTCCACCACCATTGTCTTTTGCTGCCTCTTGGTGGCTTTGGACCAGAATTGCTGCGCTTCTCCCCAGCCCAGCCCAGCACGACTGGTCTGGACCGCCCCCATCACTTCTCGGTGTTGCAGACTGGAGATGGCACGCTCCACTTCTGCTTGTGCCTTCCATTTGCGGCCTGTGCGGATGGGGACATTCGCACTCCTTATGAGCGGGTCTGCTGAGTTCTTTAGATCCAGCACAAGGCGAGCCTTTTCCTGCTTATATCCTAAGCTGATGGATTTGAAGGGGAGCTCGAGCACGCTCCGACCGAAGAGACCTGCGTCTGAAAAGCATCGGGGCAAGCCTAGCCACTTGCGGATGTAGCTGTTGGCTAGGCTATCCATTCTGCTGACATGTGATGAAGCGATTTCGCAGACCTTGAGGGGCCACAGTATGCGTTGGTACAGGATGTGCTGATAGCACCACACTTTATGCTTCCCGGGCAGTTGACTTTGCTCGATCTTTGCCAGCCCTTCTGCGAGTTGATGTTTAGTTATCTTTCCCATCTGCCTGTCTGACAAGTCTGCCGTGTAC